ATATATATATATATATATATAATGATATAACACTGCTCTATACTGGGGTTTTAGTTACTGTTTAGGGGTAACTCAATAATGCAACATTCCTTTTTAAAGCTAGAAAAGGCAACACGCATATTACATATTTACATATTAACACGAAATAAATAAATTAATTGATACATCTGCCAATCTGTATTTATGGATATTACATATTAGGTACAGAACCAGAGATTATGAAGACATGAACAGAAGTGATTACAATGATGTTTCTGAAGTCTAAGGTGTTTCTAATGTGTTACCAAACCTGTGAGTAACTGCTAACCAGACTGTTGACACTAGAGCAGCGACTGGGTGGTTTCCACACATGGGCGGGTGAGATAGCTGATCCCAGAGTCTTTCTGTATGAGTGAAATGCACATAAAAACCATGTAATTTGTTTTGCTAACATTCACATTGCAGGCAACTATTTTGTTGGAAATACTGAAAAATGTATTTGTATTATACACTTTTTAAAATGTTTAAGATTAAAAATAAAAATTAATTACATATGCTGTAATGTTGCTATTAAATCTGCAAAATACAACTGCTTAAATATCTTGCAGTCTAAATGTGTTGAAATAGGGACTTTACTGTTGTGATATGCATGTGTTGAATCCTCGTGAATTACCTTGCAAAAGTGGGCCAGTCAGAGTCAAGGTCGTGACCTCGGGATGCTACATCAAACTGGACCTCATTGAGTTCATACAGGTGGTTGATGATATCAATGTTCAGATGGGACTTCAGGAAGGGACTGCGTTCATAATACCACTCACTGTGTATGACAAACAGAAATAATTACCACTCATAAACAAGACTGGAGTTCTCAGAATGCTTTCAGAGATGTTATACCCTGTGCATTTCTACAAATGTAGCTTTCCTTTTGTAACATAAATAACACTGGACTTTGGACAACTGTATTGTCAGTATTACAATAAAAATAGCTGACATTACATGTATGCATGCTACAATGAGACAAGAAGTTGCTTGTTTCAGAGAAGTAAAAGCAGGTAGAGGAAGAGAAATTGATGTGTGGATGAATTTGTTCTGAATCAACATTTCATCAAGAGCAGCTTTGCACTATTGCATTAACATTCTCTATTCAAATAACTATGCTGTGTCATGTGCAAAAACATTTAGAAATAAATACTAATTACTATTAAAATTAATTATTTGCAATTTATTGGAGACTAATTTGCTGAAATCGTCAAAACCTTCTAAAGATGGGTAGCAGAGCATGCATCTCTTTTCATGCAAGCGCTTTGTTTTCGTGTGAATTTTCGACCACACTTTAAAGCCAAATGTGGTTGCGCTTTCCACCAAAATGGTTGTTTACTTGTTTGATTGAAAGTCTCAGGCATACATGCATCACATCAGTGTTATTTTACTATAATGGAGATACTATCATAGTTTTTATTCATATTTTCATTCGTTTGTAGTTTTCTAGTTTCATTTTAGTTACAGTTTTAATACTATTATTTTTGTCATTTTTATTAGTTTTGTTCTGCTTTTTAAAATATGACTACATAGTTTTTATAAAAAAAATCTTATTGTTTTGGAACATCAAAATGAGAAATGTTGCCTTGGCAACTAGCTGTAATAAAATATGTTTGTGATTTGTTATATTTTAGTTAACGTTTCTTGCAAGTAACTAAAGTTTTTTTATGGTTTTTGTATGGTTTTAGTAACCCTACAACAACCTGGGTCACATGATATACTACTGCTATTATTTATACTAGAATGTCATACTTCTACATCCTATCATCATTACTACTTCTTCTCATGTTAATTTTCAGTTAATGTCAATTAATACACATTTTACTAGACATTTACTGGAAATACAAATGATTTTTGTACTTTAACAAAGCTACTGTATGCATTTGGAGCAATGCATCAATCATCCTGTACAAGTTCCCACTAAGATGTTTGCATTTTTGTTGAATACATTACCATGTGGTTTTGTAGTTCATAAGACATTGCTGAAGAGTGTCTGCCAGCCTTTGGTGCACCAGACAGTAGCGGATGAAAGCCCGTCCTTTCCCTAACGACGTCTTCAACTAAATCACACAGGTAAACACAAAGGCCTTGCATTTAATAAAGAATATATGTAAGTTTTGAAATGAGACCTGAGCATGAAATATGTTGTGGATAACTTTGTATAAATTACACAAGTTTCTGTCTGACCACAACACAACAGCTTCTCATTTTGTTGATCACATTCGAAAAACCCACAAGATTCTTATGGTAATGGCACGAAATTACATGTTGAATAACAATAACAATGCACACGTAGCGCTAACAACAACTGACAATCATTTTAGAGTTTTGAAAGGAAGCAGTAACTTGGTTCAAAAGTCAATGTGCAGATTATCGGCTTAACCATAAGCATCACTACACTATAGTTCATGTTTAAAATATAAAATTCCTTTTTAGTATAAGAAACATCAAACTTTTGGGAGTCCGAGCAAATACTGAATCAAGAAAAAGATTTTGATTCTGTTCTGTTGATTTGGCACACTGGAAATGGAAGGTCAAGCTGAGTGCACTGCATAGTGGGATACAGTATTCAGTGCAGTGTGATCTGGTTTTATGCTGCACATTTTGGCAAATGCAATAATAGGACATTTCTGTATTCCATGTATAGATGCATGCCAAAATTTGATACTTAAAGTTTAATACTTAAGCTTAGTAGTAATATTTAATACTTTAGCTCAAAAAAGGTTTAATATTTTAGCATAGTGGTTCGACTCCCACAATATGAGCAATGGTAATAGTTATTCCCGTCTTAGCAAACAGCACTAAAAACCACCTGCCTTGGTAAAGGAATAACATGCCTGTGAACTTCACAGTAATCTTTGTGAGAGTCACTACTGTTAGTCGAATACCTATAACACATGACCAACCTGAAGCTGAATGTCACTGTTTCCTGCTTCGAACCCTCCAGAGAGGTGCAAATATAAAACGGATGTAAAAAATGTCAGAACACCAGCAACATGAAAGTGCGAAAGAGAAGTGAGAATGCAGGCTGGAGCCAAACATGCACTGGCTGAAGAGAGTTTTGGGCTTGTGCGGTGGATTACCTCGGGGATTGCTTTGACAAAGCGAATGCAGTCATTAGCTCCTTTAATCTTGGCCAAGCAGTCACAGAAATAGTCCCAGTAGTCTTTCCTGCTGCCCAGAAATGTGGTCCTCTCTTTCTGGTCAAACTGGACACAGCGGTCAACAGGTTAATCTCAATGCAATCACTCTAAACATTAAGTTTGGTTAAATATGAATGTGGAGATCCCCAGTCATCCAGGTCACCATCATTTAAAGTCAAACAACAAGAAACTAGTTCAGTGGTAACAACTGAATTTCACAGGACATTCTACATTTTGTAGACTATTTCCACCAGAAACATTTTCGACATTGTGGGCAAAAAATCTGCCGAATTGATATATATTGCAGTTTTTGGTAACTGAAATATAGCTGAAAAAATGTAATACAAATATTACATGAAAAACTTTGAAACAGAAAACTAGAGATGCTGCTTTGGCAACTAAATGAAATAAATCAAGTTGAAGTAGTAAAATTACTAAACTAAAACTGAAATAAAAATTTCTTAAAGCTATATGATAAAATGACATGCACATATCAAAATTTCTAAAACTTAAACTAAAATTAAAATGAAAACTGAAAAAATAATAAAGGTTATTAAAATATGAATAAATACTATAACAGCATATAAATACTACTAAAATAAAACGTAAGTCAAATTAAACGTCAAATTAAGATTAAATTAATATGTACTTAACCAATTATTAAAAAAAAAAAAAATAATGAAATTAATTATGTCCCCTGGCTCATAAGTGTAGTAAATGAATAAATGAGTAATCTTCTGTTTTGTTTTTTTCTCCTGCAAATAATCGGATCCTTATTAAATTTTGGTCAAATCTGCACTAAATACTGCACTATTATTGATAGATAACATTTAAATGAAATCAGTGAAGACACAAAAGGCAAGGATGCACAGAACTGAGTCTGAATTCTGTGGAAATTTCCGCTGAATTCTGTAGTTGCAGATTCCACGCTGGGCTAGATATACAGTAACTTCAAGAAAGAGTCCCTGATGAAAAAAAAAAAAAAACCTTGCTACGTGTACTGCGTTAGGCTAACTGAGACTTGACATTTGCACTTACATATTGTTGCTCTTTTGTTAGTTTTGATTGCCTCTATTGTCCTCATTTGTAAGTCGCTTTGGATAAAAGCGTCTGCTAAATGACTAAATGTAAATATAATGAACAAAGAAAACTCAAGCATTAAATGTTAAACGACCTTAAAGACTGAGCCGTACCTGCAGTAGGTACTCCAGTTTATAACAGAACTTGTGAAGACTGGCGCTGTCATCGGTGATGGGCTCTCCAGAATCATAATGTTCTTTGCTCAACTCAGAAACTGCATCTGCATAAACAATTGAGTTTTAGCAGAATATAGATTAAAAATATGAAGTCATTTGTTTAATCTCCTTTGAAACAACTAGCCTCATTTATTTCATAAGAGGTTGCGTGAACATTTTAAAGCCAAGCACAACAATTCTCCAAATTTCAATAACATCTTAAAGGGGTCATATGATGCTATTTTAAAGATCATTATT